CCATCATTGAAAAGACAAACAACAACAAATGTTGGCAAGGTTGTGGAGAAAGGGGAACACTCCTACACTGCTGATGAGAATGTAAACTAGTTCAACCATTGTGGAAAGCAGTATGGAGGTTCCTCAGAATGCTCAAAGTAGAAATACCATTTGACCCAGGAATTCCACTTCTAGGAATTTACCCTAAGAATGCAGCACTCCAGTTTGAAAAAGACAGGTGCACCCCTATGTTTATTGCTGCACTGTTTACAATAGCCAAGATATGGAAGCAACCTACATGTCCATCAATAGATGAATGGATAAAGAAGATGTGGTACATATACACAATGGAATATTATGCAGCCATAAGAAAAAAACAGATGCTACCATTTGCAACAACATGGATGGAGCTAGAGGGTATTATACTCAGTGAAAAAAGCCAAGCAGAGAAGGACAAGTACCAAATGATTTCACTCATATGTGGTGTATAAGAACAAAGGAAAACTGAAGGAACAAAACAGCAGCAGAATCACAGAATCCAAGAATGGACTAACAGTTACCAAAGGGAAAGGGACTGGGGACAGTGGGTGGAAAGGGAGGGATAAGGGCGGGGAAAAAGAAAGAGGGCATTACGATTAGCATGTATAGTGCGTGGGGAGCACGGGGAGGGCTGCGCAACACAGAGAAGACAAGTAGTGATTTTACAGCATCTTATTACACAGTGGACAGTGGCTGTGAAGGGGTATGTCGGGGGGACTTGGTGAAGGGGGGAATCTAGTAAACATAATGTTCTTTCTGTAATTGTAGATTAATGATACCAAAATAAAAAAAAAAGAATAACCAGGCAGTGCTAACTCTGGGCAAGTGCTTCACAGTCCACATGGCCTGTCTCACTTATAATCTTACTAGATTCTAATAGGAACCCTGAGGTTATTATTCCCATTTTATAGGTGAAAAGACTGAGCCCCAGAGAGATTAAGTTGTCTGTTTAAGGCAGCATTTCTCAAGCCTGACTGTGCAATTAGGATCCTCTCAAGAGCTTTTTTAAAAAATACAGGTAGGCTGGACACTGCCCCCATCACCCAGATCAATTAAATCTGAATGGCGAGGGCAGGGCTGAGGTGATGCTGATGGGCAGCCGGGCTGAAAGTCACTGCTGTGAAGTCAGAAAGCCAGTGAGTGGTAGAGCTGCCTGGGGACCTCTGTCCTCTGACCCTGTTCAGTGTTCTCCCCAAGGCCACACTTTCTTATTCCTTAGCAGAACATGGTGATCTTGCAGGAACACCCCATCTCAGTGTGAGCACAAGTGACCTTAGCAATTGGAGGTAGATGAGGCCAAAAGCAGAGGCTGGAGGTGTTCCCGGGGCAGAGTGGGGCAGGCAGCTAGAGCCTCCCTTCAGTCTGGCTGTGCTGTGTCCCCAGGGTTCTCCTCAGTGCACAAGAACATGCCCACTGTGGCCGGGGGTCTCCGCTGGGTGCAGGAACTGAGACAACGCATCCAGGGACCCTTCACCAACTTTGGATGCATCACACATCCGTGAGTATCTTATTCTCAAAGGCAGGTGGTTTTAGGCTTCTGCTGCTGCTCTGGATTTTGAGTGTTAGTAGAAATGCAACTCACTAAGACACAAAAATCATTCTCATTTCATTTCCTGCAATCGCCCAGTGTCTAGTCCATTTGGGCTGCTGTAACAAAATACCACAGACAGGGTGGCTTATAAGCATCAGCAGTATGTTTGCCACAGTCTGGAGGCTGGAAAGTCCAAGATCAAGGTGCTGGCAGATACAGCGTCTGGTGAACGGCTTCCCGTTTAATGACGGCTCTCTCCTCACTCTGCTCACATGGCAGAGGGGTCTCTGTGGAGCCTCTTCTACAGGGGCACTAATCCCATTTGCAAGGGCTCCACCCTCATAACATAAGAATCTTGCAAAGGCCCTGCTTCCAGACATCATCACCCTGGGGATCAAGCTTCAACACAGGACTTTTGGGGGGACATAAACGTTTAGTCCACAGCAACCACATAGCTGTTGGCCAAACAGTAACAAGATTGATATATTGGACTAATTAGGGGGCTCTTGGTGTTAAAATGAAACTTAATGGACCACAGTCTGACCCTTTCTGGTCCGCGAGATTCCTTTTCAGAGGAAAATGAGTGAGAATTTTCAAGCCCCCTGGAATTCCTCCTCACAGCTCCCTCTGACACAATGTCTCTTTGGAGGCTGCTGCAAAACAGTGAAGCCCAGTGTCAAGCATGGTGTAAGGACTTGATGTATGCATCAGAACCCCTTGGCTGCCTATAAAAATGCAGATTCCCAAGCTCACCCCTCGCCCACTGGATCCCAGTCCCGGGATGGGGCCTGTGAGTCTGCTTCCTCGGCAAGCCTCCCCAGGTTTCTGACAACTGACAGAGTTGGAGACCAGTGACCTACCTCATAGCTGCATCTGGAAGTCAGGCTAGTGAGCGCCTCTCGACTTGCTAGAAGCGAGAGGGAACATTTTGCCATGTTCAAGGTGCTTCCTCTGGAGGCCAGTCGTTCCCTGAGCCCTCTCTCTAACGGCTCAGTCTCGTCTAGAGCACCCACTTTGGCAAACACAACAGCAACAAAGGAAGTGGAGGCATTGGCATTATGGGCATTTTGATGCTAGGAAGGGCTTTAGAGACCCAAGGGCCAAGACCAAATGCTTTCAGGGGCCTGGAAGACAGTGCAAGACAGCTGGGAGGGAGCCCCGAGGGATATGCCATCCAGCCTGGGGAGCAGAAGAGCAGACTCTGTGTGAACAATCTCTAGACTCTTGGAGAGAAGCTAAAAATCTGGATTTGTATGTGAAATGCTCTACTTCAAAATTCTCAAGTATTCTACATTTTTTCAGACTCTACACAGATCACACGATCACGCTCCTGGGGCAGGTCTGAAGTGTCATGGGGTAGGAGGGCAGCAACCATCTGCAGCATCTGCTCTGATCTGAGCGAGAGCTTTGTTTTGCAGATGAAGAAACTGAGAGAAGCAGAAATGAGGCTACAAACCTAAATTCACAAAGAAAGGAAAGGAAAGAACTGAAACGAGCCTGGGGCTCAGGGCTCCTAGCCCACAGCTCTTCCCAGTGGCCCCTACCATGGGAAGCTTGGTGGCAGGGAGAAGATGTGAGTGGGTGGGGAGGAGTGGGTCGGCTTCTAGAAAAGTAGAAAGCAGTAGCTGCCCATGGTCTAGTTCTCTTGAAGCAGACACCAACATGTGTGTGCAGGAATTCAGAGATGCTCTTGGGAACAGCATCTGGGGGTTAGGGGAAGGGATTGGGCAGAGGGAGAAGTGAGCTGTGATACAGTTGCAACAAGGCCTCAGCCCATTTTATGGGGAACTCTGGCCCTCTGGTATTCCCGGGCTTCCTACTCCCACATCAGCTTGTTGCTTGATGTCTGCTGTCCTGGGAGGGGCCCAACTTAGGGCAACATGGCTTTTTCTGGCCGAGGCTGTTCCCAAAGAGGGAGCAGCCATACTTCCCCTCAGCTGCCTGGTCCTGGGAGGGGCCCTGAATGGCACCCCACCATGTCCCCTACAATTCCCATGGATATGCCATTGGTTTTAAAAATGAATTCACATTTGTCTTGCACTCTCTCTATAGAAATTGGTTAATTAAAGTGTTTTAGATGCCTCACCATGAAGTACAGTCTACATATAGGCAGTCAGTCCTCATTCCTATGGCTTCTTGGGCCTTCTGGCCAATGCCACAGACCCCTGCGTGAGAAGCCCCTCTCTCCTCTAGCCTCTTTCTGTTCCAGATACAAAACTGAAATCTTGGATCATGAACCTTGCAGAAATCCCACAGTTTGAGAGGGGAGCCCACCCTCTGGTCCGAAACCCTTTGTACTTCTTACTGCCTGGCAGCCGCATCTGCCCAATCACCATGTAAGGGAACTAAGCACCTGGAAAAAATGGCCAGGAAATCCAGGGCTCTCTCTGCAGGCATGAGGGCTTACACTGAAAGTTCAGGAGATCTTGTGAAGACACCCTGTATTGGTTTATATAGCAAATGGATTTTAAAGAATCTTTGCAATAAACTGTATCATTTTGCTAACAGAACAAACAAGACCAGAACCTCCAAGACACTTAGTGTGAAGGTTTCTGAAAATGATGGATATTTCACCAATTCTCCCAGGAGCTGGACCCTCCTGGGAACATACAGTGTTGCAAAGGAGTGTCAAAACTGGGGGAACAAGTGTGGGTAACAGTGCCTGGGGCCGGACTCTGCTCACATTCCTCTGTGGTCCTCAGCATCCCTGTGGAATCTGAGTGTGTGTCTGTGCATGTGAGCACGTGTATATGTGCATGTATGTGTCTGCATGTATGTGCATCATGTGTGCCGAAGTTTGGGGGCATAAGAAGTGGAGGGAACCTCTTAGGAACATGTCAATGAGTAATTAGTAGCAGGGTTTCTCATTGCCTGTCCTAGAGGGATTTCAGAGAGAGAGAAATGTACGTGTACACACACATACACACATGCACACACATACACACATGTATATAACAATGTTTATACATATGTGTATAAACATTGTTATATACATATATACATATATAAAACATTGTTATACACACATATGAAACACTGTTATATATATATACTCATGTATAATGTTATATATGTTACATAGTTTTTATGATGTATAATTACATATCGTTTTTTTCCCTAAATATAAAATACAACAGCACTTAGAATTTTTCTTCCATCTCTCAATTTCCCTTTCATTCATATTTTTGAAGGACTTCATTTCCCTGTGCATGACTGGCTGGCTGGGGTGAAAGGGTGGGTGGAAGGTTCTGCCATCTCTGTCATCCTTGGGGCTGCTTGTGTTTCAGAACCTGCAAATGGCCCCTAGTGGCCCGCAGAGGATGTTCAGGAAGGAGAATGAAGGCTCATTTTAAGGGCATTTGGAAACCAGCTCAAGAAACTGTTCTTTATAGGCTGCAATTTGTTATTCAGACCATTATTTTGACTTCTTCTAATTGGGTGCCATTTTTTTCTCTGTTGTACGGATAGTTGCATGGAATCAGCTGAAGGAAAGTGCATGATACAAAAATATGAAGCGATGCTCTCCTTGCTGGAAAAGTAAGCACTTCTGGGATTGTCTTGTTCTGCAAATTGCACAGGCCCTGTGATGCCTTTTGCAGTCCCAAGTTGGTTCAGATCCTCATTGGCTGTGAAATGTCACCTGTGTTTTAAGTTATAAACCCAATATCTGTGAGTACAGTGCTTCTGGCTTGCAGACACAGGGCCTCTGGGGAATGCAGCTCTATTCTAGAACCAGACACTTGTCCAGTGTAGTTTTGTTGGGAGCATGAACTTGGCAATTTAGAAAAAGTAGGGTGCTCTTCCCGGCACTCTGAAATCAGTGTGATAGGAAATCACAGCAGCTGCTCACTAAGCAGAAAGCAACAGTTTGTGCTGCACAGAGAGAAAATACATTTTAAAAATATTTCTTGTATCCTTCTATGGAGAAAGCATAAGAATGAAAATTTTGCAGGGGTTCATAGTTGTTCCTGCTTTAAA